AACAGATTTCTTGAGCGCAATTCTTCTTTCTGTGACGTCCAATATATGGTTGATATCATCCGCCATTCATTGACAATTTTGCCCAAGATATGTAAAGTTTTGGTTTCCTAGCGTAGTACCAGTTTCCTCTTTGCTACCCCAAATAACCCCTTCTTGAAGATCTCTACTTTCGTTTTTGAATATTTTAACTCTTAGTCCCAGTCTCACGACTGACGTCTAGAATCTTAAACTCTTCTGTAAGTCCTCAATCGTCCTCGACATAAAACTAAATCATTCACAGCATAAGTCAGTCCGGGGATTTCAGCCATCAATACGGAGCCGCTTGATCCGCTTCCTGTACCCGTTTAATAAATCATTATATAACACAGATAACAGTCAGCGTGAAAGAGGACAGACCCCTGCTCTTACACTACTTTCGATTTCATTCTTTTGCGTGTTTTCTGTCAATCGGCACCTACGCAGAAATGTTACTTCCCTATACAACTGCTCTGTAACACTTTAAAACTTTACGTGAAACGCCCTAGCTCATCTTAGTTTCGCCTAAAGCCTTCCTATTGAATAGAGTCAAAAGCTTTTTTAAAATCCACAAAACTGGGTATAGGTGGCCCGTTTACGGCGCAAGCGGCCTGTTTTACTAGGGTATCCTAACCACAAATATATTGTCGTTTGTCGCGAAGCTCCTAAGCCTGCTGCAATGTCTGATATTTAACGCGTACTTTCGCATTCACTCCAGTCGCCGCGTTGAGTATTTTACAGAATAGTTATGCTCAGCGCTGGCAAAAGACTAATTCGCGAACTACATTTTTGTGGACAATTCCAATCCCCTTTATTCTTAAAAATGTGGAGGATAGCTGTACTCAGTTTCTGGATACGAGCCCGGAATCAGCCATTTGATTAAACGAACTAACTCTTGGGTCTATTGCCAATTCCCGAATAAATTTTGTCGGATGCCGTCCGCGCCGCTGCCTTCTTATTACTTCATGGGTTAGAATAGCCTATTTACTTCATTCGAGCTAGAGGTTCGTCTAATACAGGCACACTTCCGGTCAGCTGAAAAATACCTTTCCTTTTTCAATGGCCCTACTGCGAACGCTCCGTAGAAAAATACTGCACCACGGCGTCGCTGAAATGCATTACTAATTCATTTCTCTTATATGCAAGACATCTGATCTATCCAATTGTTTACTATAACATCGTTTTCTTAGAATTGCCCTGTATTCTTTGCTGCGTCACTATCCAGTGCCAGCATGGCCGGGGGAATTTCTCTTGATTTTCTTAATTGTGGCCTCGTCACTGCGCACGTAATAACAATTAACTGTTTCTAGTTCTCTTCCCTGTTTCTGAACTTCTTAGGCTATATAGTTTCCGCGCCTTGGTCTCCCGACTCCTCGCTAAACCACCCCCCTTGGGGTCAGTTCTTCTCCTCTCCCTCACGTTCGACTGCCTTTCCCTGCGCGTAGCGCGCTTTCTAAATTCTTTGTTTTTGCCTCTCTGGAGACGCTCTCTGGCGCCCAACCTCCGATAAGACAAACCCCTACAACAATTCCTGTGCCTTTTCTCTTTTCCATACAAAACCGTTGGTCTTCTATTGTCAGTTGTTCTCTCGTCTGCCGCTCTCCTGCCGGATGGCAGTGCAGAAGCATTACTGCTAAATGCACGCACACAGGCAAATGATTCAAATTCTGCCAGTCAATTCATCCCAAAATCTAATAAATTGTGTAATTCTTTCCTGCCGACAACAGAGCGAATCTATTACACTACATCCAATTCTACAATAAACAGTTAGTTCGCCTTCCGTATCCTGCCAAGTTGCATTTACGAATTTGAGATTAAATCTTTCGCATAATTATTCGCATTATTTATACATTTCGCAATGACGGTCTTTGTTTTTCTGGAATTTCGCTCTCGCTCTTGCGGTTGACGTCCGAAAAACTTCCTGCTTCATTTCCAATGTCAAGCATTCATGTCGCTAACACTATAAATTAGTACTCGATACTCAGCTTTAACGTATCTGGAAATCATTGATTTCCGCCGAAGATTCTGGAGTGTAATATACGCAACACCTTGGGTGGGGTCATATTAAACAATTGGGTAAATATTACATTTTGCATTACCTAAGTCTACATCACAGGAATTGGTCTGGAGTTGGTCTCCCATTTATCATTAATAAACTGCATTAAGCTAGTCGAAACGCACGCAACTACCACCCGTGTACCGACCCTTCGTCTCTGCTTTTTTTTTTTCATAATGGCTGAAAACAGACACGTTAACGGTTTCCACCTCCTTGCAAACAAGTTCAATGAGACCAACTTACACTAACGTATTAATAGTAGGCCATGGATGTCTGCCTTACCCCGGGGTCTTAGTAGAGCTAGATATTTGAGTCCTCAGAACATCTCTATTCCTAGGACACTATTCTCACGCTATTGGTGAAATGTTTTGGTCCACTCACCGCGAGCTCCTGTTGCTGCGAATGTTGGCGCTGCCATTGCCTCGTACGCGCCTCGCTCATGCTTCTGGACCGCGACCCTGCCGGCAACGACGAGTGCCGTTGCAGCTCCGCTGGGGTAATTCGCAGGAGCGCGACAGCCGGCGCGAAACGTGCCCGCGATTGGCCTCCGCCTCGATGCCGCGGGACAGAGGTCGTCCCCGCGCCCCGAACCGTAGGCGCTAGCTGCAGGTGCGGTCAGCGGTCCGGCCACGGGCGCGCCTGGGGGGGGCCGTGAGCAGAGGCGCCCGATTGCTCGGAGGGGTGTTCCGCCTCTCGGGTTCTGCCCCTCGCAGAGCTTCAACGGCGGCCACTCAGCTCAGCCCCTCCAAGCTGCGGACCGGGCGCCAGCTCGCCCACGACGAAGCTCGCCCCGTCACGAGCAAGCCTTGATCGAAGCAGAATCCGACGCTTCCCCCTTCAGCGTCTTAACCCCTGCAAAACTGCGAATTAACGCTTACGAGTTTGGTCTCATGTGGCCCAGCTCAACGTTAGTCCGCACGCGCACATCTAGTCTGGGAGAGATACTCCCGGGCTGCACGCAGTAGCTCCTCAGCTTTCCGCTGAATGAGGCAGCTTTGGCCACAATCAATGCGCCGGCGTGTCCTCACCGCGCCTGCCGTCGTCGCGGCGCTCCTCGATGTTCGTGAAGCTCCGCCTGACGACCCTAGTTGCTCAGCTAAACCAGAATGCATCTGTGAATCGCCCATAGACTCGTTCTGCTGCTCTGGATGAACAGTAACAATGATATTGTTTCACGAGGACGATTGGTCTTCCAGGTAATCCACCTTGCGCCCAGCCGCCGTTGCCTCTCTGCAAGCGACGCAACTGTCGCGTCTGCCACGTCGTTACCCTAGCCCTGTAATACATCGATCCTATCAATTATCTCCTTGTGATTTCTCGTTCAAAGTGTCGATGATCTCACGTTAGTAGGGGGCCGGGGATTCAGCTCACCCCTCATCGATCGCCAATAGCACCCGCATGACAGCGCGTCCCAACCACGCTCGCATTAGCCCGCCCATGCGCTGGCCCACTGCACCGGCACACGCGCGGCAGGTAGCCCAATCATCCAGCGGCGATAGCCGCCCGCCACTGGGTTCTGTGAGACATTCCTGCAGCAGGTGCAAAACCGTCGCTCGGCTGGGTCTGATGGAGACTGTAATACTATTGGATAACTCATGTTTAATTTATCTGTGGCCACTGCTGTAAATACTTAACTGGCGATACTCCATGTTATTTAGCCCTGTGGCCCACTGCCTGTCAGGTGAGTTTGCCTTGTTATGCAAGAGTTTCCACGCCCCATGTCCTCGCTGGTAGCGGTATTGTATATCCCCTTGTATGAAACTTATTCGTTTCTGAAAAAAGTCCGTCCGGGTCTGTGTGAGGGGGAAAATTCATATCTATTCTGCCAGAGATGAAACGTTGGGATTGACTGTTCTCCGGCGTTTCCACGGCGATGATAGGAAACTGGCCAATCGGGTTTGAGTTACCATAGCCCTCACTCAACCGCGTTGCGAAAAGGATGTAGAGTATGTACGTGTCACCACACTCCTTGTGGATAACATAAGTGGATAAATGTAAATGATACAAGTGAACTATATGCTGTATTGAACTGGAAACTTGTGAAACGCAGAAATGTGTGAGCTTGTTTGGCAACACTTCACGATTTGTTTGCTGTACGATGGAAAAAATCTCTTGATAGATTACATAATTACAATACTCGGACCAATTACGTATATAAGAGCGAATTAAAAAGGAAAAAACGTTTAAATTATACTAAAAAATTCTTTTTTTTGTATTGATTGACCTTTCTGAAATTGTCCTATTGCTAAAAACTGCAATTGTTGAGACCAAATAAATATACAATGGGCAACCATTTCTTTGATTGATCAATTTTTTATTGTAAGAAACCTTATACATGAGTACACTGTATGAAAATATAATTAATATCTTTTACAAAATCTTTATTTCTGGCCTCTTGAAAATACCATTACCAATAACCTACAGTTTCTATTTAATATACAATATCACAGTAAATATTCCAACAGATTAGTATGTTATTAATGCTATACATTAGATTACTATTTTAGTAAATGCAAACCTTTCCACATATCAGTTTACACATCATCTGAGGGTATTTCGTTCATTTCATTGGAAGATATAATGAATTCCATTGAGGAACAAAGATGGGAAATCATAAACTTATGCAATACAAAGCCTCAAGCAAAATATCAAAGCTTTCTTGGTAGCGTTGAAGCAGTTAATAAAACTGCATTAGCTGACCATTCCCAGTTTTCTGGGAGATCAAGCGAGAGAGCAAGGTCAAGTCTTCCTAAGAACTTACTAGAAGTTGTGGAAAAATAAACCTGCAAAACCAAAGATGAGCATTTCATATATTATAGACAAGCATTTCATATATTATATAAAATTAAAGTATATCATAAAGAGCAATTGCATTACTTGAGCAATGCCTTCTTGGAACGTTAATTCTAGGCTGTTTCAATTCTAGTTTTTATATAAATGCTTGGGAATTATGTGATCTCAAAATGTGAACACACACATTGTTATTTTTTAATGCCATATCCAAGGCTGTTTTGCCCATACTTGTCTTCAAGTTCTTGTCTGCTCCTTTTCTCAGCAACATTCGCACACATTCAAGATTTCCATAATGAGCTGACCAGTGAAGAGCAGTGTAACTATCTCCATCTACAGCATTAACTTCCACACCACCCTCTATCAGTGCAATGACGCATTTACTGTTCCTGCATCTGGCAGCACTTATTATAGCAGTTTCTGCTCTTGCATTTTTAACACTAGGGTCAGCACCAGCCTCCAACAACTTCTTTAGGCATGACGAATGGCCCTTGTAGCAAGTGTTGTGCAAAGCACTATCTCCAAATGTGTCACAAGCATTTGGATTAACACCCACTTGCAGAAGAGCTTCTAGTACATCCAGGCGACCGTCACTCGCAGATTGAAGAAGTGCTTCTTCCCCTGCTCGTCCCAGCACCAAATCACGAAGGCCGTCCGCAAAACTCCACACCACTTCAGCATTGCTAGCATTTTTGAGACAGCGTGACACCTCTGTAAGGTCCGACTCACTAACCACTCTCACCATTTCTTTTACTATATCTGCATACCCTGCCTTGGATGCAACATACAGGGGGCTGTCACTGTTATTGCATTGCCTTGTAGGAGAAGCTCCCTTTTGCAGAAGTAACTTTACTATTTCACTTCTCTTGTTTGTAACAGCCATTAATAATGGGGAAACCTTGATTCCCATTTCCACATTTGCTCCTTTCTCTAAGAGCCAAACAACTATTTCCTTATGTCCATCTTTCACAGCACAAACAAGGGGAGTTTCCCCTTCCTTATCAGTTGCATCCAACTTTACTACTTTCTCCAGGAGACATCGGACTATTTCCGTATTTCCACGTTTTACTGCAAGCAAAAGAAGTGTTTCCCCTTCCTTACCAATTTCTTCCACATTGGCTCCATTTTCCAACAGACATTTAACTATTTCGGTATTTCCATGTTTAACAGCATACCTAAGTGGAGTTTCCCCGTTTTTGTCTCTTGCTTCTACATTTGCACCTTTTTCTAAAAGCCATTTAACTATTTGACCTTGCTGACCTTTCAGGGCACATAAAAGAGGCGTTTCTCCTTCTTTGTCTCTTGCTTCAACATTTGCTCCATTCTCCAACAAACATTTAACAATTTCACAGTTTTCATGTTTAACTGCATACACAAGTGGAGTTTCCCCATCCTTGTGGGTTGCTTCCACATTTGCTTTTTTCTCCAAAAGCAGTGCAACTATTTCACTATACTCCCCTTTTACAGCACACACAAGGGAGGTTTCTCCTTCTTTGTCAGTGGTATCTGTACTTGCTCCTTTGTCTAAAAGCCATTTGGCTAATTCAGTGTTGCCTTGTTTTACAGTGTATACAAGAGGAGTTTCTCCATTCTTGTCGGCTGCATCTACACTAGCTCCCCTCTCTAAAAGACATTTAACAATATCTCTATGCCCACCTTTCACAGCACACAAAAGAGAGGTTTCTCCTTCCTTGTCAACTGCATTAACATTTGCGCCTTTCTCCACAAGCCATTCAGCAATTTCAGTATTCCCACGTTTTACAGTGTACAGCAGAGGGGTTTCTCCATTCTTGTCAACTGCATCAACATTTGCTCCTTTTTCCAAAAGCCATTTTACAATATCACTATGACCACCTTTCACAGCATAAGTAAGGGAGGTTTCTCCTTCCCTGTCAGCTGCACCAACATACGCACCTTTCTCTAAAAGCCATTCAGCTATTTCAGCATTCCCACGTTTTACAGTGAACAGCAGAGGAGTTTCGCCATTCTTGTCAGCTAAATCTACATTGGCTCCCTTGTCCAAAAGACATTTAACAATTTCACTGTGTCCACTTTTCACTGCACAAATAAAGGAAGATTCTCCTTCCTTATCAGGTGCATCAACATTTGCTCCTTTCTCCAAAAGCCATTTAACTATTTCAGCATTTCCTTGTTTTACAGCGTATAACAGAGGGGTTTCTCCATTTTTGTCAATTGTATCCACATTTGCTCCCTTATCTAAAAGATATTTAACAATTTCACTTGGCCCACCCTTCACAGCACGTATAAGGGAGGTTTCCCCTTCCTTGTCAATTGCATCAACACTTGCTCCTTTCTCTAAAAGACATTTAACTATTTCAGCATTCCCTTGTTTTACAGCGTATATAAGAGAAGTTTCTCCAGTCTTGTCAGCTGCATCAACATTTGCTCCTTTTTCCAAAAGCCACGTAAATATTTCCACACTCCTACGCTTCAAAGCAGACACGAGAGGAGTTTCTCCTTCCTTGTCGTGCGCTTCTAGATTGGCTCCTTTCTCCAAAAGCCACTTCACCATCTCACTCTGCCCACCTTTCACAGCCCACACAAGGGATGTTTCTCCTTCCTTGTCGGCGGCCTCCACGTCGGCGCCGTTCTCCAACAGGCACTGGACGACGTCGACGTGGCCGCGCTTGACCGCCGCCAGCAGGCTGGTCTCCCCGTCCTTGTCGGCCGCCTCCAAGTGGGCGCCTCTACCCACGAGGCACGCCACCACGCCGAGGTGCGCGGCCTTGGCGGCGGCCAGCAGCGGCGGTCTCGGCCGGCGCGGTCGGCGGCGTCGGCGGGGCGCCGTGGCGCAGGAGGGCGTTCGGCCGGCCGTCTGCGGCGCGCGGCGCGGCGCGGCCAGCAGCAGCGGGGAGCGCGCGTCGCGTCTGGCGGCGTCGGGAGCGGCGCCGCGCTCCAGCAGCGCGGCCGCGCGCGGGCGTCGCGCGCCGCTCGCGCGCCAGCGCCGAGGCCGAGGTGGCGCCGCGGGCGTTCGCGCGCGTTCCAGTCGCCGCGCGAGCCGGCGCCAGGAGCCCACCGCGCGCGGCGTGGCCGCCCGGCGGCGGCGCCGCTGCAGCGCGCGAGCGGCCGCGCGCCCGCACGCTTTCGCGTCCGCGCCGGCCGCAGGGAGCGCCTCCAGCGCGTCCCGCCTAGCCGCCCGCCGCCCGCCGTCGTGGCAGCGGCCGACTGTCGCCCCGGCGTCGTCGCTGGCCCACGCGGCGTGCGGCCGCCAGCAAGCCGCCGCCAGCGTCGCCACGTCCCGCGCGCGGCTGCCTCGTGCAGCGACGGCGCCGTTTGCGGGGCGAGCCTGCGGGCAGACACATCAGATGGAACGCGTACGCGGGACTAACGCCGCGCGCTAGGTGTTTCAACCTCTACAAAATTCATAAGCAAAGAAAGTAGAAACTTAAACAGTAATCATTGTAAAGTTATTGAGAGGACTTATTCCAAATGTACAAAATGACATGGTTAGTTTTAAAAACAAGTTATTAGGATTATAGCTTTATTAGGTACACCCTTATAGCTTAGGACCCTTATAGTTAGAGTTCCGCGCGCGGTAGCTTATTACACCTCGGACTGACGTCACAGACAAACAAAGCCTTTCAAATAATTATCGAGATATCAGTTACTGTTAATTTATCTGTAGAACACCATGACCAGTATCGAACGCTTTTGAAACAGGATTCAATTTCTCTATATTCCTAGAAAATAGAATAAGATTGTGAAAACGTCATTAAGTTAGAACTGTCTTAAAAAACATCTTTTTATAAAATCCATTGACGTACATTCGATATTAACTGGCAGCCAAAAGCAAAGCTACAAAATAATCATGCAAACATGATTTTTCAAGCGATTGTCGCATAGTTAACATTAAGAGTGAGATAGGGCCAGTAATTGTCTATCAAGTTAAGCTCACATTTTTTCAATCACTGGCATTTATTTTGCTGTTTTCCATACATTAGGGTAGATGCAACTTTAACAAGTTGTTTACAAGAATTCAGAAACAGGGGCTAAGCAAAGAGCTTAAATTCTTAAGAGTCATTCTTTAAATGTTTTTTCACAAACATAATGCATAATCTAAAGAAATTGATCCACCCATTTGAAGCTGATTTCCCATTTTTCAAGAACATTTCCAACATCATTACAAATTCTGTGCGAAGATTTTATTGTATGGACTTCGCCTTGAAAACAGTTTAGAAAGTTATTTAAGTTAAACAACAGGCGTCAAGATGATACTTTATGTTGAATACGATGAGCATGATTGAACAATATTTTACCCTTCTTCTAGACTCCTATTCAATTATTTATTATAATCTAACCCATAATTAACAAACGTTTCAAATGGAACATGTACGTTTTTTAGTTTTGTAGGAAAATGAATTTAGCACTAATTCTCATCCTGAGAAACGTGTTCAATAATTGTTGGCTTATTAGGAAGATGCAATCGGTCCTCAAAGATGACAGTATCGCCCTTGTTAGACAGTGAATAGACAATGCCATAGTAAAACTAATGGGAAACTCACCACACCTCACACTTTAAGCATTTAGGGCAAGATCCACAGTAGCTGGGCACAGCCTAGGTCTAGTGTACAGACCACACAAAATTTTTTAAAAGAAAGAATTGGAAATCAAAAAGCGTTTAAAATTTGGATGTACCAGGGCTGTTTTCTACATTAGGATGAAAATATTACGATCACATGCATGGACCCCAATAAAGATAGTAGAGAGATTGACAGTTGTGATAAGTTGTAGTAATGTAGAGCAGTTGATAAGATATCCTCAGTTGGAAAATAATAAGAGCTTAAGCAATCCAAAGCTGCTTTCTATTAAGTGAAAAATTGGGGGGAATAGAAAAATATAAGCAATTATTTGAAAAAGATCTGTCATAACTGGCATATCATCAGTACATTTCAGAAATAATATCGAAAGCAGTTTCTGTTGGCAAAATTGCTTCAACTACTGGCCCTCAACCTGACATTTTCAAATTATTTCCAACAGAGTGGTTAACAACTGACAAAAAATTGGTTTTGATGATGAACTGGTCAAACTGAAAACAAATGTTAATGATGCCTAACAGATTACTAGTTTTCATACAGAGCAAATACAAAAACTATGCCCAAAGAAGTCCATAAAGAATATTTACTCCTTTTTGATATTTTTAGGTTGTCTTCTGTCAGAATACATTACTTTCCAAGAATCAAGAGTCATACTTCAAGCAAGATGGATGGCAAAAGCTATGTACTCCCTAAAAAATTCATATTCACAGATAAATGTTCAGTAAGGTGTTTTGAGATACTTGCTATTAGGAGTATTAGTTTATACATAATTAATGTTTATGTCAAAATTTGCTTCTATACTTATATGCTTATATATTGCTTCTATACTTATGCAATACTTCTATAGTTACATTGTCCCTCAACTAAGATTTACAATTATTTAAAAGTTAATGAATCATGGAAAATTGATAGAGACATTACGAGTAATACTGTGGTATCTGATCCCAGAGCAAGTTGCCTTCACTTTTCTGTTAAATTTAGAGAAATTCTGAAATTAAACTGAACATTGCTGCAAAACTAGTTTTCCGAAAAAATAGCGATGACGATAACCTTGCCAAGCTCTTAATGCTTGAGACAGAAAATCTGAAAATGATAGGAAATCATTTTGAAAGCAGCACAGTATTTTTTGGACAAAGAAGTTTATTATTTTATAACACACCAATATTAAAATTCATTAAGGTTCAACATTTAAAGTAATTTCTTACATTCCAATCTGGTTGTTTGGAATTAACACCTGGATTCTTAGAAGGGTCAAGAGATTGTCACACGTTTGAGAGTTGCGATCGACACAAGTATGTTCTGAGTTCACATGTGTAGTTTTCCCTACTGTCTTACTACAGATGATGTACAACTGTAAAATAAATAAATAAAAAATATTCCTTCCATGATGAAAAATGCAATCAATTTAGCATCTTTTTGCTATATTTATTTGATTTATGACTTCAATTTGAGAAATAGTCTAATCGAATTCCACTTGTGATTTGAAACTTCTCGGAGGCGTCTGCTAATTGCCATACAACTCATTAACTTAGTTTACAATTTTTATTACTTTCAGATGAAAGTGAGAGTGAATCGTACTCTTAAGATTCGAGGAGCAACAGCAGAGAAACCAAAGAGATGGTGTTGTGGCAGATTGTAAGGCATTCATGTACGCACGACAAAGATTTCCTTTTACAGATAATACTGGAATACATGCCAACGTCAGTGAAATTCAATGTCCTCAAGAAATATTTGAATATTTTTTTACTAGTGACTTGGGATCGTCCATAAATTACATAACACTAAAGAGCGGAAGGGGAGTTGGAGACAGTGTTACACTGCTTTACAAATGAGGAGTGGAGGGTGGGGGGGGTGTCATAATTCTTGCACATACATCACTCACAACAGCGTGTGCTTGGCTTGTCAGAAATTTCCT